ACCATTTCAAACGATAAGTCCACCACCACCAGTGCCAGTCTGCACATTGAAAGCTCCATCTACGTTGATCTTGATCGCTCCAAGCGGAGGTTTCTGCCATTTTGCCTGAGCTCGCGAGAGCGTCGACATTGGAGAAGGTTGATGATCCTTAAACTCATGTAATAGACGAACGGCTCCATCAACTACTTCACAGGGACTCTGACGCGTTGCCGTCCAGACCACCGAATTTCGCTCATTCCATAGACTCCACAGCAACATGAAGAAGAGTTCAATCTTTTGGCTGTCCTCACGCAGCAGGACATGTTCCAGCCATCCATTGAGGTCCCCTATCGCACGATCACGCCATTTTGTCAGCAGAGGACTGCTTAGACAAATTAAGTGTTAAACGTAATGCATTTGTATCAGTTGTTAAAGTAAAAAGTTGTGTCTCTTGATGAACAGTTATGTTTAGGAAGAGTTGTGTCTCTTTAGAAGTCAAGAGTTGTGTCTGCAACTCTTAGAACTAATCCAAGAGTTATGTCTGTTTATGAAATGGTCTGAGTGCTATTATATATAGCCAACGTTATAGGCTGCTGTATATATCATAGAAGTTAACAAAAAAATCTGTTCGAATAATTCTCTGTTTTACAAACACTCTCTGCCTCAGTTTATATTTCCATCATATATACTTCAGTTTTGTGATCATTCCCCTAACAAATTTGGTACCAGAGCAGTATTTGATCTTATCGCTACCGCTGTGATTAGCAATGGCATCAAGTTCAAATTCCTCTACCATTGGGAATATCCTGAATCTAATGCCTATTTTTTATGGTGAGAATTATGAGTATTGGAGTGTTCAAATGAAGACTCTGTTCATCTCCCAGGATCTTTGGGATATTGTTGAAGATGGGTATGAGGAGCAGGAAACATCAAAAGCAGGAAAGGAAACACAAGAAAAGCAGCAGACTTACAAGGAAAATAAGAAAAGAGATGCCAAGGCGTTGTTTCTAATTCAACAAGGAGTAAGCAAAAATCTTTTTCCAAGATTACTTCCAGCAACAACATCAAAGCAGGCTTGGGAAATTCTCAAAATTGAGTTCAAAGGCTCAGAAAAAGTGATCTCCATCAAACTGCAATCCTTATGGTGGGAATTCGATAACTTACTTATGAAAGACAATGAATCCATTCAAGTATTCTTCACAAAGATTTCTGGGATTGTGAACCAAATCATATGTTATGGGGACACTATTCCAGACAAGAAAATCGTAGAGAAAACTTTACGAAGTCTACCGCCAAAATATGATCATGTCGATGCTGCAATAGAAGAATCAGAAGATTTATCTACACTTTCTTTACATGAATTAATTGGTTCATTGGAAGCACATGAAAAAAGAATCAACAGATCCACAGAACAATCTGTGGAGCAAGCTTTCCAGTCCAAGGTGAGTTCGAAAGAGAAAGAAGACAAACAAAAAGAAGGACAATTCCAGAAATCTCAAAATGGGAGAAACAAAAATTTTGGGGGTAGAAACTCCAACGAAGGAGGCAACAGTTTCAATAATCAACAAAAAGGCAGCAGTCCCAATCATCAAGAAGGAAGCAACAGTTCAAATAATCAACAAGGAAGCAGCTTCAAATAATCAAAATGGAAGATCATCCCTTCAATGCTATGTTTGCAACAAATATGGGCATAAAAGTGCAGATTACCGATACAAATGTACCCAGTGCAAGATACCCAACCATTCACAAAGAGACTGTAGATACCAGAAAAACAATGAAGCAAATTTTACGGAGAACAATGACTCTCAAGAGCAATTATTTTATACATATTTCAGTTCTCATCAAGATTCACAAGATGTTTGGTATGTGGATAGCGGATGCAGTAATCAGATGACAGGAAATAAGCGTTGCTTTGTCAAGTTAGAAGAAAAAGTGAACTCACAAGTCAAGTTTAGTGATGGAAAACTACACAACGTGGAAGGCAAAGGTATCATTTCTGTGCAAACAAAAGGAGGTACTCCAAAACTTGTCTATGATGTGCTATATGTTCCTAATTTGGCTCAAAATTTACTAAGTGTGGGGCAACTTTTGCAAAGAGGATTCTTGGTGAAATTTGAAGATGATTATTGTGTTATTTCTGATAAAAAGAATAACACTCTAGTGGCAAAGATAAAAATGACAGCAAACAAAGTTTTTCCGCTGTTGATGACATCGAAGGAAAACTTTGCTTTAGAAGCAGAAAAAGTTGATGGATCGTTGTTATGGCATTTAAGATATGGGCATTTGAATCAAAGAAGCCTGCAGCTGTTACACCAGAAAATATGGTGGTTGGACTTCCCTCTATTCTCTCTGAAAAGGAAATATGTGAGGGCTGTATCTTTGGAAAATTCCATCAATTACCATTCTCACAATCATCTTGGAGAGCAAAAGCCCCTCTTGAATTGGTACATGCAGATATTTGCGGACCAACTCGTACACCATCCTTCAATAACAAAAGGTACTTCATTCTATTCATAGATGGTTTCTCAAGGATGATGTGGGTATATTTCTTAGAACAAAAGTCAGAAGCATTTTCTATTTTCAAGCAATTCAAAGCTTTTGGAGAAAATCAAAGTGGTCACAATTTGAAGGTGTTAAGAACAGATCGTGGTGGAGAGTTTACATCAAATGAATTTTCTGAATATTGCAAAAGCAATGGTATTAAAAGAGAGTTGACAGCAAGGTACACTCCACAGCAAAACGGAGTTGCCGAACGAAGAAATCGTACCATTGTCGAGATGGCAAGAAGCATGTTGAAGGCAAAGAGTCTGCCAAATACATTTTGGGCTGAAGTAATTCATACATCAGTTTTTATTCTAATCGGTCTCCAACCAAAGCAGTCAAAGATAAGACTCCTTTTGAAGCATGACATCGTTTTAAACCAAAGGTGGATTTCTTCAAGATTTTTGGGTGCACTGCATATGCACATATCCCTTCTCAAAAGAGAGAAAAATTTGATGAGAAAGGTGAGAAATATATTTTTGTGGGATATAGTGATCAGTCCAAAGCATACAGATTAATTGATCCAAGAACCAAAAGTTTGGTAATTTCTAGAGATGTTATTTTTGATGAACTCAAAGCGTGGAAATGGGAGAATTATGATATTGAAGTGCCAAGATTTTTTGAGGAACGACTCATCACATTCATAAGAAACTCAGTTCCTTCAAAGTCCAATTCCAAGTGTAAGAACATCTGATCCTAGTTCACTAGATTCAACTCCTAGACTAAACGCAAGAACACGTTCATTGGCAGACATATATGAGTCATGTGATCTTGCTTTGAGTGCTTTGGAGCCTCAAAAATTTGAGGAAGCTGTAAAAGAAAATATTTGGCAAGATGCAATGGATGAGGAAATAAGAGTTATCAAGAAAAATAGAACATGGGAACTTGTTGATCGACCCAAATCAAAAGATATCATTGGACTTAAATGGGTCTACAAGACAAAGTTTAATGAAGATGGCTCAATCCAAAAGCATAAGGCTCGCTTGGTTGCAAAAGGATATTCTCAACAACCTGGAATTGACTTTAATGAGACGTTTGCTCCGGTAGTTCGAATGGAAACTATAAGAACTGTTTTGGCTTTAGCTGCACAACTGAAGACAAAAGTTTATCAATTGGATGTCAAATCTGCATTTTTAAATGGAGAACTTGA